GCATAGCCTGTCTTGGTTCAACCGTAGTTGAACTTTTTGGCGAAGGCGTATAGCCTGTCTTGGTTCAACCGTAGTTGAACTTTTTGGTGAAAGCCTGAGTCCCGGTTCAACCGTAGTTGAACTTTTTTAGTGAAGGCGCACAGCCTGAGTCCCGGTTCAACCGTAGATGAACTTTTTTGGTGAAGGCGCATAGCCTGTCTTGGTTCAACCGTAGTTGAACTTGTTGGCGAAGGCGGATAGCCTGTTTTTGTTCAACCGTAGTTGAACTTTTTTGGTGAAGCCGCATAGCCTGTCTTGGTTCGTGGGTTTTTGGGAGCTGAAGCTCGGTTTTGATTCGAGATCTTGAGCAGCTTAATCGTTATCTTCCCAATCGGGGTATGTAGGCTGTCTCGAAGCGATTCTCGATTCGAGATTCCTCCGAGCTGGTTTCCGGCTGGAGCCCTTATCAGGGATGTGGGAGATCTCTTACGAAGATTCTCCCCAAAAGAGGGGGGCTTCTTCTTCTTGTTTGCACCATCTGATAGATGAGAGACAGAGGAACTGGATCTCGATTCGAGATCTTCGAGTTCCATCGGCCTGATATGCCGCTTTGGCTTGTTTAAGCTGGATTGTACTCCCTTTTCCGGCGTTTCTTTCCTTTTGGTCCATGAAAGAACTACACGATTTTGCTATGAAATCCCCACAGACGGCGCCAAATTGTTTGCTCAAAAGTTATCATGAGCATTATGAGTGCAAAACAATACAAATAAGTTACGGGAAAGTCATAGCAAATCGTAATAATCCATTGGACCAAGCGAAGAACATGAAAATAAGTACTCAAGGTTAGGAGAAGAAATCTTAACAGCTTTTATTGACAATATTGGTTTGGTCTGCCTCTCCATGAAGAGATTCAGAGCCTTACAATGGTGTTTCCTCTTCCCATAAGATGGGTATATTGGTTTGGTCTGCCTCTCCATGAAGAGGTTCAGAGCCTTACAATGGTGTTTCCTCTTCCCATAAGATGGGTATCTTTTTCTCTTCTCTCTCTCTTTTGTGAATAGTGGTGAAGAAGCAGCCCCTTTTCTAGGGCTTCCGCTCTTAGTATTTATAGATGTGAGCTTCGTGAGCTGGCAATAAATGGCCGTGGCCACGCTGAGGTTCCGTCCCCATGGGGGAATGAATGGGCCGTGCCCTCATAGATTAAATCGGACAAGAGTCGAATCCTGTTATGAATAAGTGGCCATACCACTTATTAATTATGGATTAGCTCAAGACGAGATTAACTCCGTTAATTACCGTGAGATCGGATCCTGACCCATACATATCCAACTAATTTGATAAGGACAGCCGTTGCGGCTTCTAAGTGATTTCCTCATTTTGGTTTTCAAAGAAATTAGCAAATTGTCTAATAATTATCTAGGAATTAAGTAGAATTACACAAACATCCCTTTTTAATATTTTAGTTAATATGAAATGATACAATAACAACAAGGGCAGATACATAATTCGAGCTACGGGTTCGATCGAACTTAGTAAATTTTGCTCAAACAGTGTATTTGGTGCTTAGAATTTATTAAATACGTACAAATTAAATTTAAAATCCGATTATTAATACCTGAATTGTGTTTTGAAATCAGAAGTTATAAGATTAAATCATGGTTCCGCCTCTGAATAACAAAGCTTCGGTACACAAATAAGTTAGGGTACGAGTAAATGATAGCAACTTAAATACTTTAAAATGCTTAGTGTACTTAGATCGTTTCCAACAGATTTTGTACTCCCTCCGGTCCAAAATAAGTGATTTTTTGGCCTTTTTCTTGTGGTCCAAATTAAGTGATTTTTCCAGATTTCAAGAATGAATTAATTATTTTTTTCCTACATTGTCCTTGGAGTAAATAGTGTTGGAATATGTGTTAGGAGTGTTTATGTGAGATAGTAAAGGTTAATATGGTCAATTCTATTGCTAATTAATGCTAAAAGGTGAATTTCTTAATTTGTGTGAAAACATCCAAAAAATCACTTATTTTGGACCGGAGGGAGTATCTCTTTTATTTTAGGTTAGTGATTGAAGCTCACTAGAAATAATTAGCTGTACTCGGTATTTAAATAATTTGGTGACGTAAACGTTATTTATATTGATAATAAACAAATTGCTCTGGAATTTTCAAAGTGTAGAAGTCAAAATATTTTTAGAGATTGATTTTTGTTATAAAACAATAAAAGAACAAGAGCAATATTGCAGAGAAAGAGAGAGGAAATTCTTATTGAATTTTTGGGATGATTTACAATGGGGTAAGACCCCTCTATTTATAGGGAGAAAGTGACTTAACCACCAAGTAATAAACCCTAGAATCTCTCTAGATATAGACATTCACCATAAATAAAATTCTATTTGTAACAATTCTCAAATTGTTCTAAAATCCTATATTCAGCTTGACTTGAATATTCAAAAAGCTATTGTGGACCCAAAAGCCGTTCTCAACTTGTTGTAAAGTGGCCCTTCGTGCAACAATTTGATCTTCTCATTGATGAAAGGATACCCCAAAAAAAGGGATAGGTTGGGAATAAATATTTAGGGAGAATAGTGACGGATTCAAAATTTAGAAGTAATGGGTGCTCGTCGAAAAAACTCCAAAAGAAAATGAAAAAGAAACTTAGTTGTGGGTGCTCGCTTAATACTTATTTAAATTTTTTCATAATTGCCATAGTAAATTTACTAAATTTGGTTAAGGGCAATGGGTGCTAGAGCATCCATAACGGCCCATGTAGACCCGCCACTGAGGGAAAGTGACGCTATATAGTCGCTTTTAAAATAATAATCGAAAAATAGAGTATATTTTTTATATGTATATACATTTTTTTATGTTATATATAAAAATTATACAAATTTTATATATTTTTTTGGCTACCAAATGCAAATAGTTTCTGACGCGAACTAAAAGTGAAAAAAGCTCAAATATTTAACCGCACCTAATATTTATATAAGCAAATGAAAACATGACACTTATGTAAAAAAATGCACGGGGTGCCCTATTTGGTCGCCTCCATTTAACCTATACCCATTTTTTTAAAAGTTTTAACTTGTACCAACTTTTTAAACAACTTCAGCCCCCTTTCTCCTCCTCCTTCTCCTCCTTCGTTTTCTTCTTCTTCTTCTTCTTCTTCTTCTTCTTCTTCTTCTTCTTCTTCTTCTTCTTCTTCTTCTTCTTCTTCTTCTTCTTTCTTCTGCTGCTGTTGGTGCTGCTATGAAACTTCAGTTCATGGGATGATTGCCATAAGTATGTTTATCAGATTATTTAAAAATAAATTATAAATAATTACGTAAGTTAGTAGACAATAATTTATGAATATTTCCACGTACGGGAAGTTTAAGGTCACACTTAATGATTCTTTCATGATAATTCTGTTCTTTTCACGTTTATTTGTTTCCAAATTTTTATGATTTAGATACTGTTGGCAATCTGATTATTTTATAGTAGTCTGATTATAACAAAACTAATGAATTCAGAACAAAAAAACTTCAGCTTATTTAGTGCTGAACTTTTTACAAATGAACTAAATAACTTCAGCATCTTCTGAAGTGTTTGAACAAGCTTTATGACAAAACTAATGAATCCAAGACAAAAAAACTTCAGCTTATTTAGTGCTGAAGTTTTTACAAATGAACTAAATAACTTCAGCATCTTCTGCTGAAGTTTTTGAAAAAGCTTATCCAGAACAAAAAAACTTCAGCTTATTTAGTGCTGAAGTTTTTATAAATGAACTAAATAACTTTAGCATCTTCTGCTGAAGTTTTTGAAAAAGCTTAATGACAAAGTTAATGAATCCAGGACAAAAAAACTTCACCTTATTTAGTGCAATTACAAACAAAAACTTCAGCAAATAGAGAACAAAACTTCAGCTACTATGCTTAAGTTCAGCAATTACAAACAAAAACTTCAGCACATAGAGAACAAAACTTCAGCTACTATGCTTAAGTTCAGCAATTACAAACAAAAAACTTCAGCACACTTGGTTCAACACACTTGCTACTTCAGGCCCGTCACTAGAATGCTGAAATTTTGCGTGATTGCCTTTGCTACTTCAGCCCCGTATGCTGAAGTTACGCGAAAAAGTGGGTAAGCTTGCAATTTATTTTGCAAAGCGGGCACAAGTTAAAACGTGACCTAAAAAGCGGATATAGATGCAAATGCCCCGACACTTATTCGTGGAAAAAGTGTTATGTCTGCTCCCAAATATATATATATATATATATATATATATATATATATATATATATATATATATATATATATATATATATATGTGTGTGTGTGTGTGTGTGTTTGTTTTTAATTGCAAACCTAATTAGTCTTAATTTACTTGCAAAACTATCTAGACTTCGAGTTTTGAGAAAGAAAAACTTAATTGCTGAACGGCGCTTTACTTTCTAGTGAGTCAATCCCGCGCAAACTCGATTTTATCGAGCAAGTGAACTTCGGATACCAACTATATTAAACAAAAAAGTTCGCCTTCGTTTATAATTCATGTAATAAGATAATCATTCTGAAAGCACAATTCACTCTATTTTTTCTTAAATCTAATAAAATTAGAAGATCTTTTTACGAAGAAATTCAGATTTTATAGAAAAGACAAAATGATTATTCTTGCACATTTATTGGCTCTTAGATAAATATTGCGCGTTTAAAATATTTTTAGTAATTTCCATATGCCAAATAGTTAACACGTAGATATTTATAACACTTGTGAACAATACATGGATAAAGACCTTTCAACGTGTTAAGATGCCGGTTTTGACTACTCATTTTCTTTTCTCTTTTCCTTTTTTTCTTCTTTTATTAAATATACGATTAAACCCTTGCCATAACCCCTATATAAAACCTCCATTCAAACTCCAAAATCTTGCATTATTTTTCACTACAACAAAAGCAAAACATTGTAAAGTTAGTTACCATATTATCATGTCATCCTATTCAACCACCACCACTACGGCTGACGACGGCAGAAGGATGGCGATCACCGCCGTCCATTCCGACATCATACAAACCCTAATCTTAACCAAACTCGACGGCCCAACTCTTATTTCCACCAGTTCCGCTTCTTCACAACTTAAAAATCTCTGTTCCGATGATATTCTCTGGCAAAAAATTTGCAACTCTTATTGGCCATCTACCTCTAATCCTCTAGTCCAAAACGCCATCTCCACCTTCCCTTCCGGTCACCGGTCACTCTTCTCCGACTCCTTTCCCGCCATCCTCCACCATAATACTACTACTAATATATGTCGTACCGAATACCGAAATTTCTCAACACCGGAGTTGATATCAGCTGTTGATATTCACTTTGAAGAAAATATATTATACTCAAAAGTAGTGAAAACTGAGACAAAAAGCGGGTGGTTCATGGCTTCGCCTTTTAGAGTTGACCTTTTGGGTCATAAAGAGACGGTAACGACGCCGGTGAAATTCGAAGGCGATGACGGAATATGCAAATCACGTTTAAAGGAGAATATGAAATTGAGTTGGATTTTAATTGATCCAAAGAAAAATCGAGCTGTGAATATGTCGAGTTTGAAGCCGGTATCCGTCCGGCGACATTGGTTAACAGGAGAATTGAATGTCCGGTATTCGACGGTGATGGCTTCTGGCGCCGACGCCGGCGACGGAGGAGGGTTGGTGCAGTGTGGAATAGTAGTCACGTGCGAAGGGAAGGAAGGAGGTGAATTGCACGTGAGGGAAGTGAGCATGCAAGTGGAGGACATAGATGGGAAAGTTTTATGTGGGAAGGACAGTTTGGTAATTTTACAAGAGGCTATGGAAGGAAGAAGGAAGAAGGGAAAAGAAGGAGAAGAAAAAGAAAGGTATGATAAATTCTTGGAATTAAGGAAATTATGGAGGGAAAGAAAGCAAAGGAGAGAAAAAAGGTCAGATATGATGTGTATAGTTAGTGGGATTACAATTTTTATTTCTTTTTGGACTTTGATTGTGTTAGGTTCAAGAAGCTAGTAATGGTAATTATTTTAGTTAGAAATAGGAAAAAAAATGAGAATTTAAAGTTAGGCGAAATGGCCTCCTGGCCTGGCCACTTAAATTTACATGGCTTTTGAAAGCCGATACACCAACTTACAAGTTTCCCATTTGAACACTCAAACTAGTGATACCCTTGACTAATAAACACGTTGGACCCTTGACCATCCGCGCGTGTATCACACTTCTGCTAACGTGTCCACCCAGTCAGATAACGTGTCCGCCTAGTCAGCACTGAGCCAATCAAAACATTACACGTCAGACACCCAACCCTTTTACCATTCTCGTTTGCCTTTCTCTCTCTATTAGTGGAAATCCAAAATCAAGACTCCATTTTTACTCTGCAGTTGAGCTTTGTAGTGCTCATTCATAAAAACCCAAATCAAGAATCCATTTTTAACTCTGCAGTTGAGCATTTTAGAGCTCATTCATCAATAAAAATGCCAACTTTAGTGAAAATTAAAAACCTCTTTTGGCTGTAGAGTTGAACAAGAATAATTAAGTGGAAATGTTGTCAATTTCAATGGGAATCAAGAACCCATTTTTGTACTTAAGGTACAATTCATGTCATAAAATGTTCTTTTTAATCTTGTCAATATTTTTCAAAATTCTTCAAAAGGCAGCACTTCATCTCCCAAAAACATCACCCAAAATTAGTCAAAAATAACTCGAGAATTGTCCCAAAATCACTGAAAAACGCAGCAATAATCAACCTTTTTTTCCACTCAAAAACAGTCCAAATATCAACACTCTAAACCCAGCAAAACCAACATTAAACTACCACAAATTTCTGCTCAAATCTCACGCTCAAAAAGGAAAAACGGCTTATCTCCTGCACACTTACACCATACAGATTCAAAATAAACCTTGCAGCCAGTTTCCTTTCCCCACGTTCTGACTGAAAAGCAACAAGCAACAACCATTTTTCTTAAATGAAAAAACACACACACATATGCAGAAGGAGCTTAAGAGATGAAAACGAAGAAAAAGAAATTGAAGTGAGGAAAGGGTTCTCACCCTCCAAAAAGTCGTGAGACTCACGCACATAGATGACCAGGATCAACTGACGTCATATGGGACGGGTCAACGGTCAAACGTGTTTATTAATTATGGGTTTCACTAGTTCGAGTGTTCAAATGGGAAAGTCGTAAGATGGTATATCGGCTTTCAAAAGCCATGTGAGTTTAAGTGGCCAGGAGGCCATTTCGCCTTAAAGTTATTATATTAGTTTTTTCTCAATAAAGAGCGAAAATTACAATCTTATTGTCACATTTTTTTCTCTTTATTCATTGATACATAATGAAACATTGCATGAAAATCTTCTATTAAGGCATAATTAATTCAATATTGTTATTAATCCATAGTCAATAACCAGATAGAGATGTTATTTTTCATATATCGTAACTCATTGCACCTAGCATATTCTGTGTTTGAACTCTGACTATTTATGATTTTTATATCATTTCATTGACGACTAAATTACATGTTTTTTTGTTCATCGAAACTTTGCATTTTATTCATAATGTGAGCAAAGGAAAGAAATCCGGAGATTAGGTTACAAATAATTGGGAACTGGGGCGGAGAAGAGTAGAATCTACGGATTTAGTTGAACCAGTAGCTTTGGTCCAAACCATATATTTGTCTATCTAGAACTCAATATAATAACTTAAAAGATTTAAATCTCAAACCCATAAGTTTCAAATTCTAATACCGTCTCTGATTTGGAATATCACAATCCCTAGAAACCTCATTAACTATATATAGTCATAGAAAAGCTTGTTGTAGATGGTAATTAGATCACACCCTTGTGCTAATGTTTCGAAAAAGTGATTTTTCAATCATTAAATTGTGATTAGGGGCCAAGCCTAATTCTCTTTAGCATGATAAATAAGTGCAAGGATATAACACAATGATGCATCAATTCGTGATTAAGCTATTCAACAATTAATTATAGTGTGATACTTAAGCCTTCCTATTTGGTGAGCCTGGTTGGCACCATATAACCCAATCAAAAGTCCTTTTGAAAAAGACAATATGTTACCTAACGTTATTTGACTTCTTTATATATTTGATGGCTTATTTAGATTTGGTAAGTGCCTTGATATTTTGTTTTGATAATTTGAGTATAAATATGACTCTGATTGTTTAATTTTTAAATATTGATCACTTTTATTTGAAAATTTTGAGTTTAACTTGGATATTGATAATTAATCTGATGTGATAAACATAATAGGAAAATAATTTTATTGTCAATCTTAAACCAACAAAACAAAACTATGCAAACAAAACAGGCCCCAAATATTAGTCTATATATTTGTCACGTCTTTCCATTTCTCAAAGTTTTAACATCATCATTAATCATAAAAGTAATATCCAATGAGATTTAAACTCTAGCCATAACTTAAGAGGCCAGTTTCTCCAATTGTCAGTAGCGAAATTAAGAATTCTGACAAGGATATTAAAAAAATAAAATAAAAGAAGGTTACACTTAAGGTTTGAATCTATATTTTTTTATATGTTAAGGGAATTAAAAGTTTTATATATGTATAAATATTTTTGCTTAATCCTAATAAGGAGAAATAACTTTGGGTATTCAATTGAATCCCCTTAGTTCATTGCATGTGCTTAATTGCTGCCTCTCAGATTAGTTTTTTATTTTATTTTTATTCTCAAAACAGGGTACTTGTACCTTTATTTTTCAGAAATAAAAATGGATTTCTTGAGGGATTAGTGGTGAAGAAATAAGAGGCGGGGAAAGAGAAGAATATTACTAACATGCTACAACAAAATTGAGGTTGTTTTTGCTTAATTCCGTGAGAAAATTATATAGTATAATTGCTTCTAAAAATAATAATCGATAAAATATATATTTAATAAATATTAATGTATAATATATATTTTTTATATTTTAGCTAGCAAATGTAGTTATTTTTAGCTGACTGATCAAATACTTAACTTGCCCAAATTCCTTCCATAAAGGATTGAGATGTCCACCAAACTTTTTCTTTTCCCAAAAGTTTTGTAGCACAACTTTAGCCATTTGGTAAGGCAGAAATATTAGAAAGCTGTTCTTAATAGCCTAATTACCTAAATAGTAAATACTAATAGATGGGAACAGAACGATATATCTAACCTATGGTTCAATTTAATTAACTAGAGCTCTAGCAGCATAGGACCTCTCTATGGCAAAAGATGATGCCTATTTATAGTCCACAATTTTTTCTTTTGGATTTACGGTTTATTTTTTGAAATTTTTACATTCCTATGCCACATAGGAAACCTATTACCCTCAATGTTTAAGGTTTAACTTAATTATACTTAGTATACCAAATTACCAATTCTATACCATAATTAATTAAGGGTATAATTAATTGTACGTTTTTTACTCCTTAATTAAAGGAATCTCTATAGATAAGTATCCCCACTCATCCCACGTTTCTCTCTCTCCCAAAAATTTATTTCTGTTATACTATTGGACTACGAGTTTAAGATAAATTAATTTTACTGTAGGTAATAGTAGAAAATATATTAAGATATTAATACTAAAAAAGATAAATTCAAAAGAAAAGGTGCAGTAGATGTTAATGCTTGAAAATCTTCAAAATGAAAAGCGTCATTTAAATTGAACTGCTTACTTAGTAATTTCCAGATTCAAATATTGAGCAAAAAGTGAGCCATAAGCTGCCCAAAAATTGTAGACGTAGATGAATCCATAAAATCGACATCAGCTTTCTTAAAAACTAATCTGATATACATACAATAAATATAGTACAAGCTTATTACAATGCGCAGACGCACTTAGAGATCATCTTAGCAATTCATGCATAATAGGAAATAGAAAAATTTATTTTTGAATGGTCTCTCTCTATATATATATATATGAAATTTTTACATTCCTATGTCACTTAGAGAATGTCGACGAACTGAGCTTTTGCAATGGTGGAAGAATCTAAAAACTGGGTACATTGAATTTTAATATCCCAATTCCCATTCAATTGTAGCTTAATTGGTATTTTCGACATAATTGCATTTTTTGCAGAAGATTTTGTAGAAATTTTAGTCGTTTTGGATTTGTGAAAACAGAAAAAAATGCATCTACAATCAGAATACAAATAATCTACAATTCATCTACAAAATATCTACAAACTGGGTATATTGAATTTTAATATCCCAATTCCCATTCGATTGTAGTTTAATTGGGATTTTCGACATAATTGCGTTTTTTGCAGAAGATTTGTAGAAGTTTTAGTCGTTTTTGATTTGTGAAAACAGAAAACAAAGCATCTACAATCAGAATACAATAATCTACAATTTATCTACAAAATATCTACAA